AACAATCCCTTTCCCCCCGGTTTCCACTGTTATGTTATAGAAGGTTTAATTTAAAAAGTAGTGTATATTTTATTTTATTACACACACATTTCACAGTAAGTTATTTTATTATTTTAAAATGAAAACATAATCCTGACTAGTTTTTACTAGATTTATAAATGTAAACGTGAAAGTGAGTTTGTTCGTCACATTTTGGCGTCTGAATGCCTTAATCATTATACAGGTCATTCGATATACATTTAGGAGAAGAACATAGACTTTTATCCCACTATATATTCCGATCAAGTAGGTAGCGGACAAAGTCGCGTGTAAAAGCAATACCTTATATTCTTAATGTAAATTTGATCTTAACCATCTAGAACTGCTGTTTCATTACACCACTATTTCGTTATATTTCCTAGACCGTACCTATCACTCGCCGACACAAATGCCCGCATATTGTTAGCAAACTGGCTTAAAATTTTAAATGTAGATATGCTTCCATAATCTTACGTCATATTTGATTTTACGAGTATTACTTAAAACTGTTACATTGGAAAGTGTGATTGTTTGATTTTTAAAAGATAACTCTTTTAAAGAAGCCTTTAATATTTTACCGTTGTCTCTAAATAACGGTATGTGTGTTACATCATTTACAATATATGGTTTTCATTTAATTACGAAATATAAATTTCTTGAATTATATATAATAAAAAGGCTTGTTCTGTCTTAGATAATTTAACAATTTTAAACTCCCTTAAATTTTTAATACTAATTACAAAGATGAGAATTTTATATTTAACTCTTTACTTATCTGTTCAATGCGATTACATATAATTTAAATCAATATACTACGAAATAAAATGATCTTAAAAAATATTTATTACATATAGAAGATATTAGTGTAAACACATAAATATTCCGTTTTTTTTTGTAATTTAAATACGAAATATTAAAAAGGAGCCGATAGTAAAAGTAAATTATTATGCCATTATTTTTATTACTTTTTATTTTTACGTTATTAAAGATATAAAACAATGACTATATATTGTTTAAGTACTTGTTAATATTATAAGATATAGAGGTTATAATTAGATTATGTATAAATTAGTATTATGTGCAGACTGGTAAATAATTGAGCTCTTGAGGATTCTAATAGTTTTATTTCATATTACTGAGCAAGGTATAGAAGTAAATAAGATATATTTACAAAGTCGATCACGCGATTTAAAGATAATTAATGAGTATTTTAATTACCTAAATAGTTGTATTACACCATTACCTTATTTAGAAAATGAGAGGACATTTTATATTTCCTGGTTTAGTGCCCCAATTAATGTTGTTAATAGATTCGCAATTCACACGGACAGCTATAAATTCAAGTAAGAAAACTGTTAGATTATTCATAGCGCAGTTGCAACGAATCCCAATATGGTAATAGGTATATTGCGTAGCTTGGAGTGTTGTGCGAGTCAAACTGACTCGAGTATTAACTCGAATACCTACAAGGTACTCGGTTACTCTAGTACTCAATTTACAGAATTCGAATACACGGTATTCAATTATAGGTTAAGAGAACTTGTGACACTTCAATTCTATTATATTTTTTTGTTTTTATTTTATTGATTTTCTCCTTAATTTCCATAAGAAAAATAATTAGATTATTGAAAATTTTATATATTCATTAAAATAAGCTTAGAAATCAATTGTGAAATTAGTAAACTTTGATAAAATACTCGAATATCTCAAGTTTGAAGTTCGAGTCAGTATTTGATTTTTTTTATGAATACTGAAATAATCGAATACCGATAAATTTTAATTCGATACATCACTAACAGCTTGCCAACACAGACGGGCATCTGGATAAAGCCGGCGGGCCAGTTACGAAAGACGCAATAGAAAACGGTGTGAGTTATTGAAACTTACAATGCTTTTTATTATTGTCATTAAATAGGCTTTCGTTTTTATTAACAATTTTGTAATAATAAAAGAATCAGAAATAAGTCCTTTAATGTTCAAGGTGATACGCACAATAGTCGCTTTAAATAATTCAAGTGATATTATAAACAAATGATTTTATTTATTCATATTTTTATGTTTAAGTAATAAATAATAACTGTACAAAATTATTGTTATTAAAATGTAATTTTACATAAACTTAGTAATTTGTAACCGAAAAAATATGTAAGTATTTTGTAACAGTTTATTATAATTTATGTAAAATATGCATTCGTATGTAGTAATTCTACATAAACGTAGTTAAAATCGTATAAATTTTCATAAAACATATGCTATAAAATAAAACATATGTTTTTGATATAAATCCAATGGTGAATCAAATGATGTATGTACTTTTAATAAATATTTCTGATATCCCATTAAGAGACTAATAACTAAACCGTCTTTCAAATAAAACGTTCATGCTCACTTTTTTAGTTTATTCGAGCAGTAAGTATATTATTCTCATTTTCGTGTATAATATAGTATATTTAATATATGTGTAAGTATATTTGATGTTCATATATATTGATTCGTTTATGTATGTAATTTTAGCATATCAATAATTACTAAAACCGTATTCGAGTATTCTGACACTTCCCTAAGATTGACTAGGAGAGAATGATTTTAGCACTAAGTCCGCCATGTATACATATATGTACTTATAAATAAATAAATATAGGTATCGTTAAAAATGTACATAAGTTTTATAAATAACACAGTCGCTAGTCTGCAACGACATATATTGTGACATCGTGCATACGTAGAGTTCGCCATATGCACACGCCTTCGGCTGGAGACCTTAGCTGAGGTCACATATCAAGTTCAGGCACTTGTTTCGTTTTAAACCAGTTGGACTGGTGCATATGACATGAACAAGTGCTGGACCATATTACGTAATGTTCAAAGTTATATTTCCGTGCGATTTCCTTCCTTTATTTTTGTATCTATAAATAGCGGCGGTGCTGTTTTGAAAAGCGGGAGCTTTGAAGGAATGTTATATATCCTATTAAAATATGAAATTTTATAAAGATGTTTAGATGTTTGTATGTTTTTTCTTCAATTATGTTTAAACGGCTGAACGGATTTTAATGAAATTTGGTACATGGGTAGGTTATATTGTAACTTAACTCATAGCATACTTTATATATTGATTCACATGGACAAAGCCACGGCCATATATATATATATATATATATATATATATATATATACATGTATATTTGATTTAACGACGTTATTTTAATGTTTATCTAAGTATTTTAAAAAGTACAAATGTGACTTTATTTATAACCTCTCTGGCGTTTAAATGACTCCATGAATATACGTACCATTTAGGACGGAGAACTTAATACGAGTAGGATAGCCTTTATCCCAGTTTATCAAGATATTCTGGTTATGCAGTCGCAGTTTTTTTAATGGGTGAAAAGGGAACAGTAACCCCTTATTCGCTATCGGTATACGCTGACGGAGCTCCAGTGATAGATGATGGTGATAGGTGAGGACGAAAGCAGGTCAGTTGGCTCATCGTGAAGAATTCAACAAGAATTAACCACGATGGTTTCCAGCGAGAATATATTGCGTATATTGCTAGTAATGGGGCTGTTAAAATCCATTACTAACAATCCCTTTCTCCCCTGCAGTCGTGGTAAAAAACTATTTCATTTATAATCTCAAATCAATACTTTGATGTATCTAATACGTGGTTTCTTCTATATGATATAATTTCGTCAATACTTAAGTAATATGGAGCATGTGTATTGAGCATAACGATTTGAAAGTACACAAGGCCGTTGAAGACCAAGCACTGTTGTAGTTTATAATCACAATAGATTGATTGGTTATACGATTAAATAAATGATATGTTACGCGTTACTTAATTGTATCAGTCAATTTGAAGTCGATAAATTACGTATTATTAAAATTTCTTCATAACCTATTAAGTATGTCTTACCTATTAGTTTATTTGATTGACGATTGCATTTTTTTTTAATTGCATTAATGCGTTTGTTAATCGTTATACTGTTCTTTGATATTATACTTATACATGTCTTAACGGAACAAAGTTTAACTGAAGGAGAAAAAGTATTCTATTATGTTCTCAATTCCAAATACTATTGGTACAACAAATTTTATGTTCTTAAGGTAGTAAGAGGATATACAAATAAACATGCCTTCGTATGTATAATATTATATATACTTATATAAGATGTAAGGACTGTGGTGTTAATATTTCCTATTATTGCTTGCTATGCCTTCTTAAGATTAGCGGTCCGATAAAAGCTCCTTCATAACTTCCGAGTTTTTTTACTTATAATTATTACGTCCATTCAGGTGAAGGTCTAGTTCATTATCAAGTATTTTTGTATGGAGATATTGATATTGAATTAATTATGTAAATTTAAATATTAAATATGACGTTCGGACATTGTCAAGGTTTTTATAACTATATGAAATTAAGGCATAGGTAATGCAATAGTTTTTAAGTTTTTATAACTATATGAAATTAAGGCATAGGTAATGCAATAGTTGAAGTTAATAGCTGGACCTTAGATATGTATTTGTTTTTTTTTTGTGTATTTATTAAGTAAACTAATCTTGCTAATTCTGAATCGATTCATGAGTCTTTTTTAATCCGATCCTAATTATAATAACAAAGATATTATGTAATTTCAAGGGTATTTCGAGTTATATATGCTATGCTCTTTATCAGAGCCGGCAAAGATTTCTGACTATCCCATTAGTGATAACATCTGTGAGCATGCTTTTTTTTATAATACATTATATTATTAATGATTTGTAAGTTAATACAGATACATCTGTAACTATTTATCTAAAACAATTTTCAATTTTAGATTACCCCATAATTATATTGCTGTTTTGCCAAAGGTTGACTGCTAGAGAATGTTACGTAGCATTAAATCCGTCTTTAGTACCTAAAATTTTTTTGTAATATGGTCAATAAAGAATAAGTAAATAATTAAATTATTTAATTTATTAATTAGTTATTATCTTTGTTACAGGCGGTAGTGTTATGTGCGTGTTTAGCACTAAGCTTAGCACAATTCGGCTTGAATGACTACTCAGCCGATTACCTCACTAGTTTCGGGTCTCCAAGCTTCAACACCTTTTCAGCAGCAGCCGCGAGAGATCCCAGAGCCAACACGGGTAAGTAATATAAAATCTTGTTATTATAACAATAAATATAAATAAATAAATACCACTATATTACATAGCGCCATCTAGCCCCAACCTAAGCAAACAACTGATTAAAATTCTTTATTTTCTAATATAGAAAAAAACCTAGACTAATTAAATGATACTCATGAGTACAAACTTTTGTATTGTGAGGTAACATAACCATCGGAAGTGGAGGCAGGTTATTAATCTGAGTCAAAATCTTTGGATTTCTAAATTTATGTAAAGATCATTAATAAATTGTTTTTATTTGCTTTGCACTTAAGAATATTTATATATAGTATATTAAAGAGGCTTTAATATACAATGTAGACGGCCTGAAGACTCTTGACACCAGAGGGTGATACCCTTACGCGAGTAGTAAACATATTATATATAAAACATATTAGGTGATAATTTGTAAAATAAAATATATCACGTATTACGTAATTTCACTGTAGTACATTTTTGTACATCTTAAATTATAATGTACACATATTTTATTCATGATACATGATACACATGACATTTGACATTTATAATAAAAAATTTGACGTATTAAAATGAATGTTGGATACTTCCTGTCTGTTACTGATTCTACCTAGGTAGATCTATATTTAAATATTGGTAAATATAAAAAAAAATATTTTTTTAGTAAATAGTAAAGTTTATTTTTTTTAAACATCAGTCCCCAAACTAGGCCAGACCTGTATCTTGGGGACTATGAGTGCGATTACCTATTTATATTATATATATGATTTTTCAAACATTTTCTTTCATACAAACTTTGTCTTGATAATAAAAAACAAAATAAAAAAAAATTAGCATTACATTCGGCAACCGATGTTGTATATACGTAGATTAATAATATTCAACAAAACCTTTATTATTCAATCAGAGATATTTAAATAAATATTAATAACATTTTTTTACAACTGTAGCTGTATTCATTATATTTTATATTTTTTTTAAATTCTCCATAAATTTATAAAAGAAAATGTGACTAAAATATCCAAATTATTTATTAAAATAAAATAAGTTTACGAGTACATATAAGTTTTGTTACGTTATTGTCATAACAATTTAATAAAATATGTACGATATTTTGTTAATACTTATGAAGTATGAACATTTTATTGGGTAATTAAAGGGGATAATGAAGCATGTAGTTAAATATATTAAGTTTAATATACATTTTAATTGCATAAATAAATATATAAGTTGGTTAATGTCTCTACTAATATTATAAAGGCGAAAACTCGTTTGATTGTTATCTCTTGTTTTAACAGCTGAACCTAACGTCATTAAATTTGATATAAACGTACTATGCGGAATGGAGAAGGAAATCCCATTTATCCCGGTCAATTGATATATCCCGGTCACGTGGATGAAGTAGTGGATAAAAACCCGTATATAAATCAAAATTAATCGCTATTGCTAAGTGTAAATCTGGAAAATGGTTGGACGAATTCAGTTTATTATTTTTTTTAAAATAATTGTTAAAGTGCGAGGAAGGTTCTAATAAGGAAAAAAAATGAGGGAAATTGCCCGCAAATTGTAAATCCTTTACTATCCAGGCAATTTGCCTGTGGAACTGACGACCTGCCTCTATTCGGTGCGCTCAAAGTCACTAGCGTCTAAACCTCTGTGTCTGTGTTTTCTCTTCATTTTCCTTCGTCATTATATTTTATATATATATATATATATATATATATATATATATATATATATATATATATATATATATATATATATATATATATATATATATATATATATATACACACACATACATAATTTGTATAAAATGAAACGAAAATATGACGTAATAATGACCCTATTCGTACTTCTCCGTTTTTTTAACGATGATGTTCGCTGCAACTTGTAATAATCAGTTCCGCAATGTGATGCAATAAGCGCAATGTCAAACACTTGCCCTTCCTTCATTGAGTATATAATTGCACATATTAGTGGGCAATAGCGAGTGAAGGTCATACGAGGATTAGTTTGATTACATTTATTTTTAAGCGACTTCAAGAAGGCGGAAGTTCTCTCAAAGGAAGGAGACGGAAGGAGAATATTTTTATATAAGTCGCATATTATATTCGATAATACTGAATTTTAATAATGTTTTTTAAATCAAAATATGAGTAGTTTACTTTATTTATTTGTTTTATTTTACTTTATTGCACCAAGTAAAAAAATAATAATAAATACAGTAAATATTAATCAGAAGTGATACAAAAGGCAGCCTTATCGTTAAGCAATCTCTTACAGACAACCTTTGGGTCTACCCTTTGGGACATTGAGAAAAAGACAAAGAGTAGGTGGCGCATATATACAACAGGAGAGAATGATAAAGGAAAGTGAAGAGAGAACACAGGAAAATATTACAACCATAAAAACTTAAGAAATACATTCATACAGACAAATATTTTAGGTACTGTCATAATTATGCAATTAATACACATACATGACATAAATATATATGTACATAATAACTATATATTTCTCAGTTTTCACGAGTAAAAATACCATAACATAAATAAAAATAGAGTATTAATAGTATTTAAGTTCAAACATCTTAGTTTATCTGGCGACTAAGAAAATTGTAGTGTTCGAAGCATTGGATAAATAATTATGTAAAAACTTAATTACACGCAATTTAAATCGGTTAGAATCTATTAGGTATTTCCATTTTAATTACAATGTACACTCAGAGGATAAATATAGTTCGGTACCTATATACAAATTCTTTTTTCATCAGATCTCTAACCAATTCAATATAACAAATACTTTGTTATTTCTGTTATACGAGTATGTCATTAAAAAATTAATAGTACCTCTTATGTTTTTGTTTTTATAATATAAATAAAATAAATGCTTTAGCGATAATAATAGGATAATATAATTGATATAATTAACTGAAAAGTATATTGAATACCTATCATTAGAATTAATATATCCAGAAATAATATGGTTTTCTAATAGTCGTGTTTATTTTCTTTTAAAATCAGTATAGAGATGAGTCCAATGAATAGTAAAATCCATTAAATATTAGTAGTCTAAATTAAACTTAAAGATTTCATTAATTAATTACTTAGGTATTTAATTGTTTTCTTAACTCTGTCTAACGTCTGAATGACCATTTGTTTCTATAAATTGTAAATTTAAAAGTAAATTATCAGCATGTAAATTGATTAAATTCTGAGTAATTACTTTTAAATGTACCAATTAAATGTTGTGGAGAATGTTTAGAAATGCTTCAAAATTCAAAATTCAAAAATCATTTATTCTTCATGTATATAATGTGGTGTGGTCTCGGCATAGAATAGGCCACCCCTTCTTTTTCCGGGGGTGTCGTAAGAGGCGACTAAGGGATGGCGAGGGATGGGCAGCAGAGTCCCTCTTAAAACATCTTCAAAGCTTAACTCCGATTGTCAATCCACCTGTCAAACGTGACAACTACTGGCAAAACTCCCCTAGGGGGAGGCTTATGTTCAGCCGTGAATAGTTAAAAGCTGATAGGATTATGATTATAATGAATAGATAAATGATAGACGGTTTTATTTATTTAAATAACTTTATTGACCAAAATAAAATAAGGTACAAAAGCCGAACTTGAAGCTAGTGCTCTACCAGTCAACCTTTGGGACAAACAGTTGGGCTAACTGACCTGCTTCATCCTCACCTGTCATATATTACTGGTGCCCCGCCAGTATATACCAATAGTCCAGGTACCATTCCATTATCATCCGTTAAAAAAAATACTATTTATTGTACTCAGGTATCTACTATGGACAATCACATAGTATTCTTGATTGTTCAATGCACGTTCATATCTTGAGACGACACTTTTTCATCAGGCAGATCATGTCATTCTAAGTTGCATAAAGAAAATATTTCCTGAATATTTCTTTCGATCAGTTTTTATTATTTGAATACAAATTATTTCATAATATTAGAATACACGAATACTTCCCATAATAAACAAGTCCAATGACTTGTGTTTTCGGTATTGCGAATCGCAATATCTCGTATAGTTTGTAAAAGTCGAATATAATAAGGAAGTGTCGTTATGAATTTACGATAATCTGACTCATCGGTCACATAATGAGTGAATTATATGTAAAAAAAAAAAATACAAGTTTTACATTACTATACAAAAATAAGATTTAGAATTCAGAACTAATCAATCAGAAATTGTTTTATTTAAACAGAGATATAAAAATAAAAAAAGTGCATTTACCAAAAATATGAAATGTCATTATTTCAGTATTTTGAACATTATGGTATGTTATTATAATTTTTTAAAGAACACTGCCGCCTTTGGCGTCTATAGAAACGAGTGCGTTTTTATTTAATATTATTTTTCTTGCATTTTGGTTCATCTTGATCTATTTTTGATGCTTCTTTTTAGTAACTCATTGTCTAGGAATCCTATTTCTTTTTTGCGCATTTATAACAATCAGTCACAATGGTGTCTTAACGAAACAAATAAATATTCAATCAAACACCGCTAACTTGAAATATTTCACAATAACACTCGAAAATAATTTGACCATGGCTAGTGTACAGATTCATATCTTGACGTTTACGCGCACCATAAAGAACTTATTACAATTACGTAAATACTGTCAGTTAAGGAGCGCAAATGTCATTGTTACGAACATTATTTGGAAGTTGCTTAATGTATGATAATTTCCAATGGGCGCGGTCGTAATCACTTGGGAACGACGTGGGAGGAAATATATCTTAGTACGCTAAGTGGTATACTTATCTATAAATACATTATATAGAATGGTATCTAAACAATTTATCAAAAATAATAAACCATTGATGTACTTTAAATAAAAGAAAAATATTTCATAACATAGGGTCTATCAAATTGGATATTTTTGTGAAAATATTATAGAAAATTTTAATAAAAAAAGCAGAAAGAGGCGGCGGTAGTATCAGAGTATTAGATATCGTTTTTCGTATATAATTAA